GGAGAACCAAAAAATGTCAACTACCTTTCCAGGTCTCGTCCACGATGCAGAGGTATTTTGTGTGTGTGTGTGTGTGTGTGTGTGTGCGCGCGTGTGTGTGGATGTGTGTGTGCATCTGTGTGTGTATGTGCCTGTGTGGTTGTTTCCATTTTTTTAAAATCCATATTGGACCGTTACGTTTAATTATAATCCGGCTTCAGAGATAACTTAAAGAAGTATAGAGAGAAAATTCGTTATGACATCTGTCGCCAGCAAGGGCAACTCATTACCACGTTAAAACCGTTGCCAGAACGAAAATCAGAATAATACCCCTAATAATATAATGAAGTGGAGAGAAATCACCACCAGCTCGCCAGGAATGGGGAGTTCTCGCTAAAAAGCAGGACTCTCCTTTCTTTCGAAACGCAGGGAAAAGAGGGGGGGAATTTTGGATCTGATTCGTTATTTTAAAAAGAAAGAAAAATAGGGGTTCGAAAAAAAAAAAAAAAAGAAGGGAAGGAAGGAAGGAAGGAAGAAAGGAAGGCAAGCAGGCGGCAAAGCTTTCTCAATGTGTAACGCTGTAACATAGGGACGGGACTTGTGTGTATTCTCGGTAGTTTCCTCTGTTTGATGACTTTTTTTTTGTGTCAGCCCCAGATATTACAGCTGTGATCAAGAGGTGGATGGATAGATGGATGGATAGATGGATGGATAGATAGATAGATAGATAGATAGATAGATAGATAGATAGATAGATAGTTTTTATTTCAGTGCGTGGATTCCTTTCGCTTGACAGTATTAAGGGCAGGCTGGGCTGTTTATGATTTTTTGAACAGACCTTTATGGCACCAGCCCAAGGTAGGAAAGGATCTTTTGTTGCTGGGGTTGCTGCTCGCAGGCTTAGACGCTTCTGCAGGGGGAGAAGCTATGCAGGACAGCGTGCTTGGAAGAACCGTACCCGGGGTTTTCAATGACAAACCTCCAGTTTTGGGGTCTTCTTTTCACTTCTTCCTTTCAGATACGTCATGACGGATCAAACAGTTACCGTTTGATGCAGCTTGGATGCCTGGAGTCTGTGGCCAACTCGACCGTCGCCTATTCCTCCTCATCTCCTCTCACTTACTCTACCACGGGCACCGAGTTCGCCTCCCCGTACTTCTCCACTAACCACCAGTACACCCCACTGCACCACCAGTCCTTCCACTACGAGTTCCAACACAGCCACCCGGCAGTCAACCCCGACGCTTACTCCTTGAACTCTCTCCACCACTCCCAGCAGTATTACCAGCAGATCCACCATGGAGAACCCACTGATTTTATCAACCTGCACAATGCGCGGGCACTCAAGTCCTCCTGCTTGGACGAGCAGAGGAGAGAGCTGGGGTGCTTAGATGCTTACCGCCGCCACGACCTGTCTCTTATGAGCCATGGATCCCAATATGGGATGCATCCAGATCAAAGACTCCTGCCAGGACCAAGCCTCGGGCTTGCAGCCTCGGGAGCAGACGATTTGCAGGTAAATAGCATGCGATCTCCTTTCGAGGCACCTTCCCCTCCCCTCCCCCTGTCCTGGGCCCCCCCACCACCCCCACCCCCACCCCCATTTTCCTCTGCTCGGAATAGCTCATACAAAGGAGGGAAGATTTATCCCAAACGCGATCCAGAGCCCGTCTCCTCCAGTTTAGTAGCGGCAAGGAAAAAAAAATGTGGAGGGAGAAAGAAAAAAAAAAAAAACAAAAAACAAAAAAACACCAACAAACAAAAAAAAAAATCAAAAAAGCAACCAAACAAGTGGTCTTCTTTGGCCAAACAAATTAAACAAAACCAACCTCGCGCCTGCCTTTGCCGCGTGGGTTGTGTCTCTGTGATGGCTGAGACCACGGGGGTCCCCCGGAGATCTCGGGGTGAACCAGCCCTTGCCCAGTCACACAGCACCCAAACCAAACCAGAACAAACCCATCTTCTTGCTTTTCTTAAACTTTTCCTTTCTTTCGGCGCAAGGAGCGCTTTGCAGCAACAGAACAAGCAAATTATTTAAGGAAGTTATAAATTTGGAGTAGGAAAAGAGAAAAAAGGCAGATCAGGAAATAAATCTACTTTCCGACAGACCTAGAAAGGCAAATCTTCCGAGATAAGAGGGAGAAAATAGATAAACGGGAGCAAACATTCGTCAGAAAAAGTCAGAATGATAAAAATACCTCGCGATATCCGATCTAGGTGTTAATGGGGTGAGAGATAAAGCAGACAAAGCTAAATTCATCTGTCTGTCTATCTAACCATTCATCCACTCCACCCTAACCGGCACCTGAACCCATCTAAAAAAATTTATTTCTATGTATCAAAAGCTCAGCTCAGAAAAATCCGCTCAGAAATCCTTTCCCACGCGCTAAAAATTCACCTCCGCTAAATTGAGCCGGTTGCTTAAAAGAAATTGGTTTCCAAAATTGCAAACGACGCCTTCCTGTATCTAACCCCCATTCCGAAATGTGCCCCAAATCAAAAGCAAACCTTCCTTCCCCCGACGAGCTGAGGAACTGAGGGCTTCCCCATCAGCAGGGAGAGACAAACGGGACCGTATTTACTGTACTTACTTTTCCCCCACACCTCGCTCCCTGGCATACAAAGCTGGCTATGGTGGTCTTTCAAAAAAGATGTAGCGGTCAAAGGCTTGGGAGAAAAAGAAAAAACCAACCCGAAATTTGTAAAATTAAGGTTTATTTTTTTCCCCTTAAATCAAAGCATGAAAAAAATAATCCAAACCATCTATGTATGTCAGGGAAAAGAAATATTTTTCCCCACTTTATTTTCCTAGGAGGAAAATAAACCCACCAACAAATAATGTTATCTTTTAGACCTCAGACGAGGAAAACCTAGCTATTTAAACCTAAGTTTTCTCCACTAAAATTCGCGATATAATTTTGTCCTCTCTGGCCATTTTTTTGTTTACATTTTTCACAAGGATCTCCTTATGTCACCCCCCTCAAAAAAAAAAAAAAATCTGCCATTCACTGCTCAACCCCAACTAAAACCTATTTACTCCTTTTTATAACCACGTCTGCTGCTGATTTTTTTGTATCTGTACAAATTTTTTTTCTTTGGCAGGCACAAAGCCTTGTATTTTTCAAAAGAGGGGATTAGGAACGTTTGCAAGACAGCAGACAATGCCTAAGTCCCGGGCAAAAAAGCACCATAGTTTATCCAATTTTCGACTTAGTGCCATTCAACTGGTCATTTATGCAATGTCATCCGACCAAACAACATGTTTCCCTTTTAAAAAGAAAAAAAAAAAAAAAAAAGATTGGTTAAGCTGCTAGAGGCACAGTCTCTTTTTATTTATTTAACGAAGAAGAAAATCAACAGCTTTCCTTTGGAAAATATTAATTTTTCGATCATAAGTTATTATCAAATAAAATACTTAGGTCTTTGTACTTAATCTCTTCTGTATTTTTGCCTCCTCCCTCTTTTTCCGAACACAAGAGGGAGTGTGCAGAGGTATCAAAAACCTAAGTGGTGAGAAGTTGAAAATATTAATATTTGTCGCTAGGACTTGGATGATTCAGAACAAAGTTGGACTCTCGCGAATATCACTGCGGGTGTAGAGGGAAGCGTTTTGGTGGCGAGCAGAAACAGGACTGCGCAGAAATACTTTTAAACCAAAATTGTGGTTTAACCAGTCTACCCCTTTCTCCTTAGTCTTTCTTTTTAAAACGTTCATCAGCATATGCCTCATTTCAAATGCAACAAATGTAAATATACTTTTCCCTGCACAGAATTTTAAGTGAATGTCCAATAGTTTCGAGGGCGGTTTAAGTCAGCCTAACAGATGCAAACAGTCTTGGAGCTGGAGTGGCATCTTTCAGTGCCCTAAAAAGATTTTCCATGGGCAACAAAGAAAACTGTCACACCTTTTCCCATCACCGCTTTAATTTATGCTCAGTCGCCAAGTTTTTTTCATATTGATTTCATAATCACTTTAAGGCAGAACACTTAAAATAAAAAAGGGCCTTGAAAAGGAAGGTCTTACAGGGCCAGCGCCAATATGGTGAAAGTGGGGGAGAGAGCCAGGACTGTAAAGATTGTTTTGTAAAGTGGGGTTTTTATTATGCACCGACTCTCTCCGCATTTACTTAACTCTTCACGGGCTGTTGAATAGGTTAACACCCTTAAAGGCCTCTTTCATGTCCAATACCTCGTTTGTTTGTAGAGGAAAATGCGTCTTTAACACATTTCCACTGGGCAAAGATTTAGGTTTGGTTTGTTGTGTTTTTTTAACCCCAACATAAGGAAAAACCCAAAGAAAACCCAACCCTTTCAAGTCTTTTATCACTCCAATAAAAATATTTATTAAGGAGGGCGAAGATCCCCAAATAATCAGCCTTGTAACAGGAGAATAAAGAAGTGAGATCTCTTCGGACGTGCACCAGAAGCCCTAGGCAGGTTTTTTGATGGTTCTTCACCCCTGGCTCACACATGGGTGCCTGTGTGTGCGCGCACACAGATGCATATTCATCCCCACCTATGTGCGGACACACGCATTGTTACAGCACCCTCACGACTCTGTGGAGCCGGCAAAGCCCAATAGGTCATCTGTTGTTTGTGCTCTTTGTCTACTTCTGGCCACACTTTTAAGTCGGTGTATGCGTGTCGCAAAACATATCTGTGAATTTAGCTGTGTGCCCGAATATAAATATACCGCTAGACATATAAAAACAGCAAAGTACATTTTTAGCTTTGTGCGTGCAACTGTGGAGCGGGAATACGCTTCTCCCAAAAGTACTTGTTTGTCTGTCTATCCTGCCATGTAACTGCCGGTCTAAGCTGCCAGTTCGGGATAAATTCGTATTTAAGTGGCAATGAAAAGAAAATTATTCTGCGTTTGGTGGGGTAGGGGCAGATGGCAGGATGGAGGGGGGATTTCACTTGGGTTCGCTGAGAGTAACTGTGTTTTTCCAGTTCACCTTAACTATTGTTCCTGGGCGAGTCATATAACAAAGCAAAAGCTGTGAGATCTCTCTGTGGGTTCCTGTGTCTCATTTCTTTCTTTCCTTTCTTTCCTTGTTTCCCCCTCATTACTTAAGAGCTCAGTGGAGGCCCAGTGTGGACTTGTACTCAACGGGCAAGGAGGTGTGATAAGAAGAGGTAAGAGGTTACAAATACTTGCGTCTAACAGTTTTTGTAAACATACATCCCTCTCTATCCCTCCCTGCCTTTCCCTCCCCCACTGTTCAGCGTAATTTGGATTTACTGCCGAATAAGTGGTAATTTGCCGTTTGTCAGAAGTACATTCAAACTCGCTTAGAGCACTTCACATTTCACAGTCCATTTGCACTTTACAAACGATCTACTCCTCGGTCGCTCTCGGATACTCCCGCTGAATTCAGAGTTTTCCTGACTCGGTGTAACATTCCCCGTTTAATCGGGATGATCCCTGATAGTTTGAGAAACGTGTTTCCTGGCGCCGGGCTGTTAAATCGGTAGTTTGGTCTCGTGTGAGGGGAAAAAAGCAGGGAGGTTTTTGGGAAAGGTGGTTTCAGTAACGCTACAGACCGGTGTAGAACTCGCTTTTGAGTGTCACTTCATTTGATAACCATCTGTCAGTGTAAATATCGAACATCAAAGTTAGAAGAGAGGTTTGGAACTCGTGTTAAATATACGTCTCTACAGAATTTGCGAAATTTGAATGTCCCGGGGAGTTTGTTATTACCGTCATTTACCCTGAAGAGGAACAAGTCCGGTCTAAAGGCCTAACGTAGGAGCAAACATATTTTCCTTACAAGCTTAAACACATCCTTTCACTCGATAAACCACGTAATGCAGTCGGGGAGAGGACAGTGGGCCACTCAGCCTCTCACAATGTTCATTTTCTTGTGCTCTCCACTATATCCAACACGAAAAAAACAGATACTTAGGAGATATTTCGGGTGACGTGATGCTAGAGTGTCAGGCAGCTGCTTTCAGCCATCACTTCCCTAGTCAAACTTTAGAAACAAAATTGTTTATTGCAGGAACACCGGTCCCGCACGCCTGTGGTGGGCGGGGATGGGGAGCGGGCTCTCGCCCTGTCTCGGGGAGGGGATTTTGCGGGGCTCGGTCCCGGCACAGGCTGCAGCCAGGGTCGGTCCCGGTGAGCAGCGGCGGGACGGGAGGTGACAGCAGCCATGTGGCGGTGGTGCTGAAGGGACAGCTCCGCTCGGCCGCCCCGCTCCGCCCGGCCCCGCCGCGCCCGGGCACAGGGACGGGGACGCGGCGGCGACTCCGAACCTGCTGTCCCCTCCCCGGGCACCGCTGGCGACAAGGGCTGGCTGCAAAACTCCCGCCCCGCCCGCGCTGCCGGCGCCTGCCCAAGTCCTTGTCCCTCGGATTTCAGCGTATTCTAATTATGCCTAGGAAGAAGGGTAATTATCCCTAGGAAGAGGGATAATTCTTTCGGGTTTGATCCGAGAGCTGACCTCCGAGAAGCTGAAAGAGAGGCAGGCAGAGTCTCCATCAGCTGGGGTCTGTGCCTGTCGTGTTTGACGGCCGTTCTCATTTCCCAGTTGAAGGGCGGCTCAAAGCTCAGCTCAGCTCAACTCCAGTTTACTCAGCTCTCCACCTTCTCTTAAGGAGACTCCAATTACCTGTGCAGATGATGGCAGTGGTGCCTCTCTCTCTCTCTCTTTTTAAAAAGATCAAATTATTCAAGCATTTAAAGATTGATACTAAAAGAAATCCAGCATGAAAATGCAAGGTCTTCTGAACCCTGATTTAAGTGCTGAACTACTCCTGCACTGCTATCTGTTTCTTGGCATATTCAGGGAAGATATCAAAGGCAAGAGTATAAGTTTCAAATGTATATTAAAAATACATAATAAATATTTTGTCCGACTTCAAAAAAAGCGATAGGTGTTAGCAGTAATCAAAACATCCTGCGCCTAAGTGCTATACAGTATCCCGTATAAATAAATCACACTTCTTCTCTAGTAATAGATCAATAAGAATATATTAACTCGAGAGTGGCTTCCCTAATATTTTAAACATCTCGTGTCAGACTTTTTATTTTATTTTTTGTCACTAATATATACATATATTTTGTACAGGGTTGCTTTTGAGTGTTTTAGATGCAGTAGCAGGAGAAAAAGGGGAGAAGGAAGGAAGGAAGGAAGGAAGGAAGGAAGGAAGGAAGGAAGGAAGGAAGGAAGGAAGGAAGGAAGAGCCAACATAACTGGCTTGCAGGTCCAACTTTTC